CGAGCACAATCGGGTACCTTAAGGGCGTCGCACCCATAGATGCTCAGCAGAAGAGCATGGAGCTCTGGATAGGGACGCTACCCACCGAAGTAGGACTGCCATGGCTGGAGGATGTCTCATCAAACTCTATGAACTAGCCAACCTAAGCAGCTGCAGGCGCGAAACCCTCCACCGACGTGGTCCTAGGTGACTTCCCCTCTGACAAGGCTCACCCGGTGAAGATCCACCGGAAAGAGTCCCGTACGACTCCATCCCAAAGAAGGCCTTGCAAACGATGACGGAACCGGCGACGTGACGCCCCAGTCGGATTGAGGTGCTACAGCTCCAGGCCCCACTCATCAAGGATCCAGAGCGCCACTTCCTTTGGTGGAAGACGCCCCTTCTCGACGAAGGCAGCCAACACCGCCTCGAATGGCCTCCAGCTCGACATTGCGCTCTAGATTCATAAACGGATCTATGAGTTCTCCCCCTCACCTACCCTCTCTCTCACTAAGGAACCACGGCGACACACAAACGCTCTTGGCAAGAAGGAAGGAGGAGAGGCGCCAGATGAAGAATAGGTGAAGGAATAGGGGAAAGCCCTCTCCTTCCCCTATTTAAGGAGGAGGCGCAACAGTTGAGGAAAGGCGAAAGGTTGGGGCGAGAAACCCTCTCCCTTTCCCCATTCAATGCGGATGGGATACGAAGGGACGCGTCCTGACCGATGGGACGCACCCTGCCCGACGAGACAGCACCTGGTCAGACGGGACGTGGCCTGGGTATGACCTACCACTACCGCAGGCCGGGCGCGAGAAACAAGGCGCAACTGCGCATAGGCGGCTCTCCACCTTCTCGGGCGGGACTTGGAAAGGCCCAACTACGGGATCTCCGCCTAGGATAGACCAACGGGCTTCCTAAGTCAATTCGGACGGCTCAGGAAAACACCGAGAGATAGGTATGGAGCAAAGGACGCCCGATGTGGGCCATGCCAACTCTGTTATGAACGACGAGCGTGGATCCCGGTCGGACATATCCGATAGGAGCTCCTCAAACCCCATCACTCGAGTCATCAAGGTAACATTACCAACCCCCACTATTTCTTTATATGAACATTCATTCATCCATGCACGCATTCATTCATTCCATACATCCGAAGCATTGCATATGCAGTTAAATGCATCACAACGCTCCGTGTTGCGTCACGAAGCGGCAGTTGCCTCATTCAACATGAGCAACGACCGACCGGGGTTTGAAGGCCGGCCCACGAAGGGCTCGAAGCCACCCGCATCAAACAGAGCTAGGGGAGAAAATGCAGATGAGCCCCGAGCGGCCCTCGCCCATCCTGCTCTAAAGCAGATAGGGTCATCTCAACCTTCTCGTTCGATCCTAACCTCAAGCCATGCCCATAGAATCTCCATCGAGGGAGGCCAGCGGGCCACTGGGTTGGTCTCTAGAATGACCAAGGCATCTACCGGGTTGCGGGTTAAGGAGCAATGGAATGCCACATGAGGGCTATCTCGACCCCATCATGAACGATGGACCCGGATTTCACTCGAACGTGCCCGTTAGTGAGCTCACCGAGCACATCACTCGAGCCATCGAGGCAAGCGACATTAGCTCAGCCCCTCCGGTTGTGAGAAACCGTGACGAGGTAACGCACAAAAACTCAACCTGACCCCTACCAAGCCCAAACGGGGCTTAGGGGCTCAAGATGCCCAACGCCTCGGCTGCACCCGACGCCAGGATCCGCGACTCCGTCTCGCTCGATCCCTAAACTGCCTCAGCTGTGCTCGACACACAGGATCCATGACTCCATCTCACCCGATCCCTAAACTGCCTCGGCTGCGCCCGACGCTAGGATCCATGACTTCCGTCTCGCCCGATCCCTAAAACTACCTCGGCTCCACCCGATGCTAGGATCCACGACTCTGTCTCACCTGATCCCTAAAACTACCTCGGTTACGCTTGATGCCAGGTCCGCGACTCCGTCTTGTCTAATCCCTAAACTGCCTTGGCTGCGCCCAACGCCAGGATCCACGACTCCATCTTGCCCGATCCCTAAACTGCCTCGGCTGCGCCCGACGCCAGGATCCACGACTCCGTCTTGCCCGATCCCTAAACTGCCTCGGCTGCGCCTAATGCCAGGATCCATGACTCCATCTTGCTTGATCCCTAAACTGTCTCGGCTACGCTCGATGCTAGGATCCGCGACTCCATCTCACCTGATCTCTAAACTGCCTTAGCTGGGCCCAACGCTAGGATCCGTGACTCCATCTTGTCTAATCCCTAAACTACCTCGGCTGCGCCCGATGCTTGGATCCGTGACTCCGTCTTGCCCGATCCCTAAACTGCCTCGGCTACGCCCGACACCTGGATTCGTGACTCCATCTCACCTAATCCCTAAACTACCTCGGCTGTGCCCGACGCCAGGATCTATGACTCTGTCTCGCCCGATCCCTAAACTGTCTCGACTGCGCCCGATGCTAGGATCCACGACTCCGTCTCGCTTGATCCCTAAACTGCCTCGACAACGGCCAATGCTAGGATCCGCGACTCTGTCTCGCCCGATCCCTAAAATGCCTCGACTGCGCCCGACACCAGGATCCGTGACTCCATCTCGCCCGATCCCTAAACTGCCTCGGATGTGCCTGACGCCAGGATCCGCAACTCCGTCTCGCTCTATCCCTAAACTACCTTTTGCGCCGATCGAGATCCGCAACTCCGCTCGCCCGATCCCTAAAGCGCCTGGTTGCGCCGATGCCGAGATCGCGACTCCGTCTCGCCCGATCCTAAAAGCGCCTCATTGCGCCGATGCCGAGATCCGCGACTCCATCTCCCGATGCCTAAACTGCCTCGGTTGTGCCCGATGCCAGGATTCGCGACTCCATCTCGCGCGATCCCTAAACTGCCTTGGCTACACCTGACGCCAGGATCCGTGACTCCACCTCACCCGATCCCTAAACTGCCTCGGCTGGGCCCGACGTAGGATCCGCGACTCTGTCTCGCTCGATCGCTAAAACTGCCTCGGCTGCACCCGACTCTAGGATCCGCGACTCCGTCTCGCCCGATCCCTAAAACTGCCTCGGCTACGCCGATGCCAGGATCCGTGACTTCGTCTCGTCCAATCCCTAAACTACCTCGGCTGCGCCCGACGCTAGGATCCGCGACTCCGTCTCGCCCGATCCCTAAAACTGCCTCGGCTGCACCCAACGAACACGCATGCTGACAAAATCCCCCAGGTGATTCTGCTCGAAACGCCCGAGGGCTGGGGGTACACCCGCGGGTGCGCTCGTACACCCGCTAACTAAACAAAACTTCCCCGTTGGCAACACGAAAAAAACCCCAGACGATTCTACTCGAATCACCCGAGGGCTACACCCGCCGTCAAGACAAAAATCCCCCAGACAATTCTACCCGAACCGCCGGGGGCTCGGGGGCTCCTGTTGGGTTCATAAACCCTGGGGCCCTCATGAAACGACTTTTCAACAAAGGCTCGGTCCAGCAGACGACGTCGCGAACAACACGCAACTCCAGGGCCGGCTAAAAAAATCTAACGACAGGCTAGAAGGGCGATCCAGTCTCCGACCGGAGGGCCTGGCCAAAGACGAACGACGCTCGCTCGCCTCCGATTCCGACCTACCTCTCCGACCGGAAGGCCTCGCTTCCGACTCCGGCCCGCCTCTCCAACCGGAAGGTCTAGCCAAAAGTGGACGACGCCCGCTTACGACTTCGACCCGTGTCTCTAACCGGGGGATACGAACCTCTGCTTCTGACTCTTCTCCGACCGGCAGTCGATGAGCCGTCGGGACCGACCGAGCCGGGACGCCCGCTTGGTGAGGAGGACAGTGGCAGCGGCGAGTAGGTAAAACAGAACATTCAAGTCAACCACAATATCAAAGACCGTACCCTATACACCTACAGTACCGATAGGACATGTCAGAAGGACGCCCTGCAACCTTTTAGGCATGTCAGAACCCAAGCAGTGTTGTGGGCGCCGATATTTGCCCTACAGTGTTGTGGGCGCCATCAAATACCATGACAAGCACGGTAAGACACCCCACATGCCTCTAGGCATCAACAGTGTTGTGGGCGTCGTCATTTACCATATATAATAAATGCTGTAAAACCTCCCACATGCGTCTGACAACAACAGTGCTGTGGACATCTACCATCATCTTGTACCCGACGGCGTGAGCAACAAGACTTAGTAGCATACGTACTCTCTCTCTCTTGTAAGGCCGTCCTCTTCATCTATAAAAAGGAATACGCTCTCTCCCAACATGAGAGATCCATCAGTTCACTTACATCGATTCACCCTCTGCTAACTTTAGACACTCTAAAGCTACACAGAGCGTGTGCTTGAACACTTAGCATATAGCGGAGTTCCTGACACTCTTGGCCCTTCAGATCAAAGTCCGACCAGACCTCTTGCACCCTCCTCTTACTCCCTTCCGTTTGTAACCCCACAGCAAACTTCGAGCACCTGGACTCAGGAATAAAGTCACCGATCGACTCAAACTGGACGTTGGGCACGTTGTCTGAACCAGGATAAACCCTGTGTCATTGAGTGCTATGCCACGTCCGATCACAACGTACGGTAAAACTACAAATATTTATGTGTTGATCACTTTATGTACCGATCTAAAGAGTACGCATCCCTGAGTACTTTGATTATTGGCATCTCTAGTGTAAGATGTATCAATAGCTGAAGCCTTAGAAATCACTTCAGTAACGGACCATTATACGTTATTGAACCTATGGTCATTTCGTTGATCCAAACCATACAGCCCATGCAAAACTACAATCAAACAACAAATTTTTTCGTTTTCTGGTTGTCCACGGCGTGAGTAGGTCAAGTCAGCCCTGCTACCAGACCACCGATCATACATTTTTTTTTAGGAAAACCGAATCATACATACTATACGACAAATTATCTCCTCGGCGTGCCCACGTGGTCCAAAAGGCCCAAACGTTCACTGATAACCCATTTCCGACACGAGCGGTCGGTCGCGCCGACGGAGATGGGTGGCGCCGCCGTGGCCGTTCTTGCCGCCGCAACCGCTCGCCGGAAATCTGGTCCGTTCGTATCCTTGTTCTCCAGGGCAGCGCGCAGGCTCCACGATGCTGCAGAGACTGCAGCGGCGGAGGAGGACAAGGCAAGGACGCGGAGTCGGCGGCGGCGGCGGAGCTGCAGCAGCCTCCTTCTTGGACCGGACTTCCCCGACACCTGGGACCCTTCATCGCGTGACACAACGCCGGAGGCTCCTCCTCGGTGTGCCCAAGGTGAGCGACTGCTTTGGTAAATCGCTGGTTGAAGGCGGGCTCTTTGTATTGCTTCGATTGGGCTGGCCGGCTGGGGCCTTGGGGAGGCTGTCCAGAGTGCATTTAAAAAAAAATCTACATTTTTTTTGCAATTAAATTGATAAGTTGGTGGGAGCTTAGCGCTTATAATTTGTGAACCTAGTGTTGTGGCATGGAGTCAGTTCGTGTCACTTTTAAAGAATTAATGCTCACATCCTCTAGTAGTTTACCATTCAAACTGTATCTTATTGCGAAACTAGAAACCCAGGCACGGCAAACAGAGGAAGCCAGCCCATGTAGAGAATTATCCTTGTTTCTGTTGTTTGTTGCTGGCACAGTGGCACTCCAATGTATATCATTGTTGGCAGTTTTCTTCTTTTGCATTTTGATCTATGGCCTATACCAAGCTTCTTCAGAAGTCTTATTTAGATCTAAGACTCAGTAGTTTAGGAATAGGTAAAAGCTATATGAGAGGCTCTCGGTTTAGCCTTAACACGAGAGCCCTCCCGATTAGGAAACACAAATATGTCGGAATCAAAATCATCCAAATAAAAAAATGAGTGGAGGAGGATGCCGAGCTAGGGTTACCTCTTCTTCTCCGGCAAGCTCCTCCATCTCTAGTGATATCCTCCAACTCCGGTGACCTACGGTTAGGGACTTAGAGCAACTCCAAGAAAGATGCTATTTTTTATTTTAAGTCTAGTTTAGACAATCTGTGTTATAAAATAGACTCCAATAGATGTTGTATCCGAGTTTGTAAAATACCCAATGAGCTATCCCATCTATTCTGCTTGCTAAAGAAAGCCAGTGTGCGGGCGCTCGCTCGGCCCTCCCACACCGATTTCGCAGGGTTGATGAGTCTTTTCCCGTGAGAAAGCTTTGCACGTGTGGCAAGGCTCTATGGTTGTGCTCATCTCCGGCTGCGCCATGGTGGCGCATGTCTTCAGCTGCGCCATGGCGGCGTACTTCTTAAGCGCTGAGTCGAGGTGGATGGGGTTCAGAGACTTCATCAGGTGGAAAGATCTGAAGAGGTCGAGCTGCCTCAAGGACGATAACCGTTCAATGCGATATCACCATCTTCGAAGATTACTGGACCGCCACCGCCGACGGTGACAGCGGCGGCAGTGACGCTCTGACTGCGGTGAAGGTAACTGTGCCGCTGTCGTATGTCCAACCTGCACAAGCACCTCAACAATCTGCTGGAAAGAAGCAAGGAACGAACGCCACTGTTGATGTCACCAAGGATGCCTTCGATGCCTATGGTTGGCTTCTCACGGCACAGTCTCCTGTGTCTAGAATTCATGCCTCGTCCAGGAAATGCAAGGAAATCTCAAGGCGGTTGGGAGCCCCTGTTGTGCGGCATGGCCGGCTGGCACGCGGGCCGCTTTACCCTTCTGGCCTGACGGCCGCTTGGAGGTGGCCATGACAGCCCCCAGCGTGCCTTGCTTGGATGACATGGCAAGTTTTGAATATGGAAAATAGAAAATTTACAAAGTCTGTTGGGCAACCCATAACATTTTAGGAGATTTTATTTTTAGAGAATGGCTAAATCATGCATATTGGAATCTATTTTCAGCTAACCTCTTGGAATTGCTCTTAGGGTTAGGCCTTTTGGGTTTTGGGGATGCCTCCAATAGCTGCGACCTTGAAGGACGGGGGCCCGAGGGACGTGGCTGGACCGGTGGCGGTGGCGGTTGGAGGGGCAGTGAGTTAGGTGGCGGAGGACCACTACTACAGAAACGATTTTGCAAGACACCCCAAAAACTTAACCGAGGCGGACGCCTATTTTAGCCCGCCACGGTAAATCCCACGATTTACCGAGGCGGGCGTTTTTTATTTACCGTGGTGGGCACTTTTGTCCACCTCGAAAAATCGATTTACCGAGGCGGGCACCTTAAAATGCCCGCCACAGTTAATAGGTATTAACCGTGGCGGGCATTTTAAGGTGTCCTCTCAAATTGATTTTCCGAGGCGCGAGTGCGTTATAAGGCCCGCCATGGAAAATGGCCCGCCCAACCGCCCAAGACGAAGCCCGATAGCCACTCCGGTATAAATAGGCACACTTAGGGTTTCCGGCCACACCCGAACTCCCTCCTCCGCCTCCGTGAGCACCGATCCCCTTCATCGCGATTCTCGCTCCTCTCACTCTCGATTCACACGGCGCCCTGCCTCTCTCCTCCAACTCTCACTCGTGCCCCTCTCCCTCACACCGTCTCGCCGCCGCCTCTTCTTCTGGCCAGCCTCCATCTCCTCTCCACCCCATGACGCGGTGATGGCGGCTGCAAAGCGAGCATACCCGTGGTGGTGCGTCGTGGTCGTGGTGGCAAGGACCGCCATGACAACAAGGTGGCGGCGGCGTCCACCACGGCGGCCCCCCGACGGATCTGGCCTCACCACGGCGGGCGGCCTTCCTCCCTCCCTCTCCATGGCGCGGATCGACACGGCGCGGATCCACGACGGCGGTCTTCCTTCCTCCTCCTCGGCAAAGTGGTGGTGAAAAGCTCTAGTTTGGTTTTGGTAAATTGATGAAACTCTAAGTGCTAACCTAGTTCATCAAGTGATCATGAGATAGGTAGCACACTTCAAGTAGAGAAGCAAATAAAGATCATAACATGACAATGGTGTATATAGCATGGAGATAATCAAGGGCTTAAACTTGAAGAGAAGAAAGAAAAACAAAAGCTCAAGGCAAAGGTATAACTTGTAGGAGCTATTTTGTTTTGGTGATCAAGACACTTAGAGAGTGTGATCACATTTAGGTTTGATAGCCGTACTATTAAGAGGGTGAAACTTCGTGATCGGAATGCGGTTATCAAAGTGCCACTAGATGCTCTAACTCATTGCATATGCATTTAGGATCTAGTGGAGTGCTAACACCCTTGATAATATTTGTGTAAATATGCTACCACATGTGCACAAGGATTGGCGCTTTCGGGAAAATGAAATGTCCATTTCTATTCTGTGGGATGCAAAATTCTTGGTTGGTTGGCACACTTGAGCAAGGGTGAAGAAGTAAGAGTTGAAATGGAGTTGATCGAAATGATCTTTGGCGTCGGGTCTCTTGACCGGATGATTTGGAGTCAATGATGACCGATGACTGAAAGGCTGCGTCGTCGTCCAAATCGGCGGCACATGGCTAGAGGTTGAGCTGGGGCTTGTCGCGTCGGTCAAGATCTGGACGCGTCCGATCAAAAAACTATGCCTTGGGAGCTTCTGAAGCTCCTGGGCTTCGTCCGTCCGATCGATTCTCGGGCCGGTCGACCATGCGATTGAAATCGACAAACGACATTTGAAGCGAGGGGACACATGGCGTGAATCACGCGATCGGACGCGGGCCGGCGTCCGTCGATCGATCGGACGAGCGTCCGGTCACCCGCGTTGTGCCAGTGAAGGGGTACAATGGCTCTATTTCACTGGGGCTCTATTTATAGCCCCATGGCGGCTCAAGCTCTCTCTTGCACATTTTCATTGACATAGCAACCTTGTGAGCCTAGCCAAAGCCCTCCCACTCATCTACATCATTGATTCATCATCATAGTGAGATTGGGAGTGAATCCAAGTGCATTGCTTGAGTGATTGCATCTAGAGGCACTTGGTGATTGTGTTTCGGCTGCGGATTTCGCTTGTTACTCTTGGTGGTTGCCGCCACCTAGGCGGCTTGGAGCAAAGCAAGGATCGTTGAGTGGAGGAGGTGATTGTCTCCGACTCGATCGTGGTGGTGATTGTGAGGGTTCTTGACCTTTCCCGTGGGGCGCCAAAAGGTACTCTAGTAAATTGCTTGTGGCTTGTGTGATCCTCATCTTGTGTTGGTTGTGCGGCACCCTATTGAGGATTTGGCGAGTGATGTCAAATCGTGGCGTGAACCTCCAAGTGAGTGAATCGCCGTTAACGAGTACTAGCTTGCTTGGCAAGCAAGTGAACCTCGGTAAAAATCATTGTGTTCATCATTTGATTCCGAGGTGATTGGTCTACATTGGTATTCATTATTGTGATTGATTGGTTCCTACCACCACCCTGCGTCGGTATAACTCTCTTGCTCACTCTTACATTACATCAAACTAGTTATCAAGCTCTTTAGTGTAGCTAGTTGTGAGAGCTTGTTTGTTTGATTAGTGTTGCTCTTTAGTTAGTCTTTGAGAGCACACTAATTTAGCTAAGTGTCATAGCTATTGTGTGGATATACACTATTGAAATAGAATTGTGGTAGATGGCTTGCATTTTAGTAGGCTAGCGCAACACTCGCTTTCGCCATAAAATTGTCTAACACATTTTGTTAAGTGTTGTTGTAGATTTTATTAGGCTATTCACCCCCCTACAGCCATTAGGACCTTTTCATTTGGGCGTCCACGGCGTGACGGTGGTGCCGAGGCCAGATCCACGGCAGTGACGGGCGAGATCCATGGCGCGGCACTGCTCGGCGTGAGAAGTTGGCATGGTAGTGGGCGTGGACTTCCCCTCCCTCTTCCCGGATGACGACGATGAGATCCGACCACCATGGCAGATCCAGCAGTGCTAACATGGTCTCTCTTCGTCTCCCTCGCTCTTCTCTCTTCGTCTCCCCTCTTGTGCCCTCTCCTTTTCCAGATCTAGGCCGATTGACGCCGGAGCTGCGGTGATGGCGCGCCAGCGGATCTTGTGGCTGCTCGGCGCCCTCCTCGCTTCCGCCTCATCTTCTTGGCAACGAGGCGGCGGCTGTTGGATCCGTGGGGCGGCGATGGCGGCGCTAGGGTTTCGTTTTGGGATTGGGCTGGCGGTGGGCTCGATCAATGGGCTCGCCGGTGGGCTTTGGGTTTTTGTTTTTTCCAAGCGATTAATCGAGGCGGTCGGTGTGCGCGTGCCCGCCGTGGTAAAAGTATATTTACATGGCGACACGTTACATACCGCCCACGATCGGAAGAAGCAAGATGAAGCACGGACCGTGGCGTGGGGAACAACGAAAACCGAAACGCCCGCCTCGGATAAAAGTTTTGTAGTAGTGGACATCCGGTTGGGAGATCCGCGATGAGGGCAGGGCTGGGCTTCCTCCTCCGATTGGGATTAGGGGAGGGTGGCGTGGAGAGGCGGGAGTGGGCACTAGGTGACGTGGCCGGTGGCAGAAGCCAGTGGTCGGATGGGGGCATGACGTAACGACATGGTTACGAGGAAGAAGATGAAGGCGTGGATGCGTGGGGAACAACAACACGATTTAGGGTCGGCTGTGGTCGCCGGCAGGGGCACTCGGACAGGACGGTCGCGTGGCAGGCCAGAGTTGAGAAAGCTGGGTGTTTCGAAAGGAAGGAGAGATGCATGTGAGATCTAGAAGAAGAAATCCTATCGCAGTGGGACCGATGCTCTAGATGGGGATGGAGAGACGCATGTCTCTGGACGGTCTCCAGTTAGCACTAAACAGAGAGGGCCCTCCGTCTAGTGACCTCCTTATGAATATTTTCTTTTCTGTGAGCAATGTAGGGAGTACACAATAAGCTAATCATCTTTTATAATACATTTTTTTGTTTGGAAAGACAACATCAGAGCAAAGATAAGTCCTCGATGCTTTGGTCTAAACAGTACAGTGTCTAAATCTACCTTTTACTTGGCTGATCACTTGTGCTTGTCTAAGCAAAAGTTGGCCTAGATAAGTAGTTTTCTCTATGGAGCAGCTGATCGGCAGCTCCTGGCTATAACGATATGGTAGAGTGCACTTTGCACAGCAAAATATTAGCCAAAAGTGCTCCTGCTGCTCTCTAATCTTCATATTTGAATACTTCAACTGTCTCTTCAGTCCTGATGTAGTCCACCTGTACAAACATTGATCAACGAATACTTTATGGTACTGTGAGAACCAGGGCTATAAGTGTTAACAAACAGATCAGACTGACAGGGGCTCTCAGATCTGTTGTTACTTCAGAGATGACAGAATTGCATTAAGTAATAACCACGAAAGCAAAACATAATTACTAACGTATTTAGAAATATTACTCTCCCATAGCTGCCTATAATAACCGGAGATTTCGAACTAATGTGACTCTCCTTGATGAACTATGAACATAGACCTGAAAGATTGTCGACAGCCTCCAAAAGCTGCTTCATAAACTGTACCTTTCCTAACATCAGCACATATAAGGAGAATAGAGAAAATTCTGGAAAACATGAGGGATTCTAACAGTTAAGAACATGTCTATTACCACCTTGGGTGCAGTGTAGGCACAAAACAAAATGGTAGATTAGCATACCATTAGCTTAGATAAAAAGAACAATGTTGATACTAACCAATCATTAAATCGATCATGGGTCTTGTATCTAACCAAGACAGTCTGAAGATTGCACAAAACAAAATGGTCCAATAACTAAATTAGCCTGCATTAAAGGAACCATAATTTAAGAGCGGTATTCTTCTGCAAACTAAAACTAATCATTTGTCTGAAAAAGGCGATTTGAGTCCAGTAGGTGAGCTTTGAAATTTGATCATGTGGCAAGCGGAGGGTGGCACAGGCACGGGTAACACGGCAGCCGAGGAAGGCGTGGGTGCCATGGCAGATGGAGGCCAGCAGGTGGTGTGGCATGTCACGCGCTTGCTACAAAGACGACGACAACAACAACAAAGCCTTTAAGTCCCAAACAAATTGGGGTAGGCTAGAGTTGAAACCCAGCAGAAGCAATTAAGGTTCAGGCACGTGAATAGCTGTTTTTCAAGCACTCCTATCTAAGGCTAAGTCTTTGGGTATATTCCATCCTTTCAAGTCTCTTTTTATTGCCTCTATCCAAGTCAACTTCGGTCTTCCTCTGCCTCTCTTCACATTATTATCCTGGCTTAGGATTCCACTACGCACCGGTGCCTCTGGAGGTCTCCGTTGGACATGTCCAAACCATCTCAACCGGTGTTGGACAAGCTTTTCTTCAATTGGTGCTACCCCTAATCTATCACGTATATCATCGTTCCGAACTCGATCCCTTCTTGTATGACCGTAAATCCAACATAACATACGTATTTCCGCGACACTTATCTGTTGAACATGTCGTCTTTTCGTAGGCCAACATTCTGCACCATACAACATAGCAGGTCTAATCGCCGTCCTATAAAACTTGTCTTTTAGCTTCTGTGGTACCCTTATCACATAGGGCACTAGATACTTGGTGCCACTTTATCCACCCTGCTTTGATTCTATGGCTAACATCTTCATCAATATCCCCGTCTCTCTGTAGCATTGATCCTAAATATCGAAAGGTATCCTTCCTAGGCACTACTTGACATTTCAAACTAATATCTTCCTCCTCCCGAGTAGTAGTGTCAAAGTCACATCTCATATACTCAGTTTTAGTTCTACTGAGTCTAAAACCTTTGGACTCCAAAGTCTCCCGCCATAACTCCAGTTTCTGATTCACTCCTATCCGACTTTCATCAACTAACACTACATCGTCCGCGAAAAGCATACACCAAGGAATGTCGCCTTGTATGTCTCTTGTGACCTCATCCATCACTAAGGCAAACAGATAAGGGCTCAAAGCTGACCCTTGATGTAGTCCTATCCTAATCGGGAAGTCATCCGTGTCTTCATCACTTGTTCAAACACTAGTTACAACATTGTTGTACATGTCCTTAATGAGCCCGACGTACTTCGTTGGGACTTTATGTTTGTCCAAAACCCACCACATAACATTCCTTGGTATTTTATCATAAGCCTTCTCCAAGTCAATAAAAACCATGTGTAGGTCCTTCTTCTTCTCTCTATACCGCTCCATAACTTGTCTTATTAAGAAAATGGCTTCCATAGTTGACCTTCCGGGCATGAAACCAAATTGGTTCATAGAGACCCGCGTTATTGCTCTCAAGCGATGCTCGATAACTCTCTCCCATAGCTTCATAGTATGGCTTATTAGCTTAATTCTCCGGTAATTAGTACAACTTTGAATATCCTATTTATTCTTGTAGATCGGTACCAATATACTTCTCCTCCACTCGTCAGGCATCTTGTTCGATCGAAAAATTTGGTTGAACAGCTTGGTTAGCCATACTATAGCTATGTCCCCGAGGCATCTCCACACCTCGATTGGGATACCATCCGGTCCCATCGCCTTACCTCCTTTCATCCTTTTCAACGCCTCTTTGACCTCAGATTCTTGGATTCTCCGCACAAAGTGCCTATTGGTGTCATCAAAAGAGTCATCCAACTGAAAGGTTGTGTCCGTATTCTCACCATTGAACAATTTGTCAAAATACCTTTGCCATCGATGTCGGATCTCATCCTCCTTCACCAAGAGATGCTCCCTTTTATCCTTAATGCACTTAACTTGGTTGAAGTCCCTTGTCTTTCTCTCACGAACCATAGCCATCCTATAAATGTCATTTTCTTCTTCCTTCGTACCCAAATATTGGTAAAGATCCTCGTACGCTCTACCCTTTGCCACACTTACAGCTCGCTTTGCAGTCTTCTTTGCCACCTTATAGTTCTCTATGTTGTCCACACTCCTATCATGGTACAAGCGTCTATAGCATTCTTTCTTCTCCTTAATAGCCCTTTGGACTTCCTCGTTCCACCACCAAGTATCTTTAGCCTCGCCTCCACTTTCTTTGGTTACTCCACACACCTCTGAGGCTACCTTCCGAATGTTGGTTGCCATCTTCTTCCACATGTTGTTTATGTCCTCTTCTTTCCAAGAGCCCTCTTTGATAACCCTTTCCCTGAATACCTCTGACGTCTCCCCTTTCAGTTTCCACCACTTTGTTCTTTCAATCTTAGCTTATTTATCCCTACGGGCACGCACATGAAAACGAAAGTCTGCCACCAAAAGCTTATGTTGAGAAACAACACACTCCCCTGGTATCACCTTGCAATCCAAGCATGCTCATTTATCCTTTCTTCTTGCGAGGACAAAGTCAATTTGGCTAGAGTGTTGTCCGCTACTGAAGGTCACTAGATGAGATTCTCTCTTTCTAAAAAAAGTGTTGGCTATTATCAGGTCAAAAGCTACCGCAAAGTTCAGAACTTCCTCCCTCTCCTGATTCCTACTACCATACCCAAAACCTCCATGAACTGCCTCGAAACCTGCGCTTATAGTAGCTACATGCCCATTAAGATCTCCTCCTATAAAAAGCTTCTCACTACTAGGTACAGCTCTAATCAGGCCATCTAAGTCTTTCCAGAACTATCTCTTAGCATTCTCGTCGAGGCCTACTTGGGGGGCATACGCACTAATTACGTTCAAGACCATATCACCAATGACAAGCTTGACTAAGATAATCCTATCTCCTTGCCTTCTCACTCCCACTACACTATTCTTGAGGCCCTTATCAATCAAAACTCCTACTCCATTTCTATTCATGCTTGCTACAAAGGCTCTTGAAAATAGCTCCTGACCTGCGGTGAATGGCCCGATGAAGATCTGACAGCCACGAAAAATAGGCGAAAAATAGGCGCTACGTGGCCCAGGGGCCAGAGCTTGAACCCATGTTTCATATATTCACTTGATGCAAACTGAAAGTATATGTTTGATGTACTGCACTATTCTTGCTTGGTAGCTGCACTCAGTAAATATATGTTTGGCTCAAGGTTGTATTGAAATTTCAAGTCAACGCTCTTGACTCTTGGCTGATTCATTGATTCTATTTCATTGTTCAGAATTTTATGCCAAAAATCTGATGCTGTCAGCTCTCATTTCTGTATTTTGTAGCTGATTATGATTGCACTGCAACCATTATTGATGGCAAGTCCATTGCGGAGGACATAAAGTTACATATTGCTGAAGAAGTCTGTCAAATGAAACGTTCAGTTGGACATGTGCCTGGTCTAGCTGTTGTTTTGGTTGGTGATAGAAGAGATTCTGAATCATATGTGCGATACAAAGTAAAAGACTGAGGAAGTTGGAATTAAATCTTTGTTGGTGAAGTTGCCTGGAAACTGTTCAGAAGATGAAGTGATGGATTCAGTGTCAAGATTTAATGAAGATCCATCTGTTCATGGCATCCTAGTGCACTTACCTCTACCAGAGGTAATGTGTTTTACTGTTTGTGTTTCGACCTTCAAAACACAAGATCTGTGGTATTTTTCACACTCTATAGATTAATATAGTTAAAAACTTTTCAAATGAACCCCATTAGAGACATTTTGTTTCATGGTTAATACAAACTACTCCCTCATTCTAAATTGTAAGTTGTTCTGGCTTTTCTAGTAACATAGCTTTTACTACACACCTAGATTACATTATGTCTAGATACATAGTTATGTATATAGAAAAGCCAGAATGACTTATAATTTGGATCGGAGGGAGTACCTATTAGTTTCCATTTATTTATCTGTTTGATCAAGATTCAGCTTAATTCACAGACGCCTTTGCTGTGTTCAGTACTCAACGTTATAAATTGTTGACCTTTGAATTCTGTGTCCTAATTTTGTGCAGTTTTTGGATGAGGAAAGGATTCTGAGCACCATCAGTCTGGAGAGAAGGATGTGGATGGTTTCCATCTGTTAAATGTTGGTAATCTTGCACTCAGAAGCCAAAATCCTTTGTTTGTGCCCTGTGCTGCGAAGGCTTGCATTGAGTTATTGCTCCGATCTGGGATTGAACTGATGGGCAAGCATGTAGCTGTCATTGGGAGAAGCAAAGTTGTTGGATTGCCCACTTCCTTACTTTTACAGGTAAAGTTGTCAAAATTCTGAGTCAAATCTATGATTTTTATGCATTTTTTGCGGTGTTGTTATATGAAGACATTACTTTGTCATTGATTTTCTTTCAGCGGCATCATGCCACTGTCAGTGTTATCCATGCCTTCACAACAAATCCAGACTTTATCACCCGGGAGTCTGATATTGTGATATCAGCTGCTGGGGTGGCCAATCTTGTAAGGGGAAGCTGGTTAAAGCAAGGTGCAGTGGTGATTGATGTTGGGACAAATCCAATCGAGGTAAAGACAGCAGTGTTTATTGTACTTTTTGTCAAGACAGTTTTATGTTGTTTGTGCATTTTCTCTAGAGTTGTTTGTCCATCAATAACCAGTTTATATGATAAGGTATGAATCTAAATTAATGATAATTATTCTTAATTATTTTCCAAAATTAATGATAAATATTACTTCTAAAAATGTCCCAAATCAGTTTATTGGTGCAGTTTTCTTACAGAGAAATTTGTAATCTAAACTTAAACAGTGTCAGTAATGTTCCTAACACTTGTCCCTTTGCGCTTAGCCATCAGCGTCTGATGTCCCCTGTTTTGCAGGATCCAACCAGTGATTACGGTTATCGCCTAACTGGAGATGTCTGCTTCGGAGAAGCAGTGAATGTGGCCTCTGCTATAACTCCAGTTCCTGGCGGAGTTGGACCAGTAACGATTGCGATGCTTCTTGGCAACACACTTGATTCAGCAAAACGTGTTTATGGCCTAAGTGACTGAACCCCTGAACTGTAATTTTGTCATGCTTGTCCTTTGTAAATTAGTTCTCTTTTCTTTTCCCCCTCCCGTTGCTCTCTATTTTAGTTGTACGAGGGCTGGGATGTACCATATTCTTGCTCAACAAACATTGTATGCTTTTTATAAGAGAAATAGGCCTGACGGACAACATTGTCGATTTCATGCCTCAACTACATTAATGTTAAGAGTAGAATCATAATGCATAGCCAGCGAACTGGACAAACATATTTCAGTAGCAGAAGCAAAAGATATTAGATGTCAAAGTTCAAAATGGGTACTCCCATTTCAAGAGAGTCCATGCAGTTCAAATTGTACATTTGCAATTGCAATTCAGTACACATCAGACAGAGAAAAAAAAAACATGATTTGCATCATTTATTCTTTTTAACAGAAACCATCGCATGTATAGCTATTGTGATGACACGTGCCATGAAGAATTACATTGGGGGAGCGCCATTTGCATCTCACTCTACTTGATGCAATTGCTGCAAGATATTAAGATATTATCTTCAGACTAGTTCAATTTTCTGTTCTGCCACCCAAGATTGTTTTGGCTCCAGTTGTGCCATTTCAATCTACAGGAAAAAATTATTTATATCATCATCCAAAACCATGCAATTATCAAATGTGAGGATTCCAGGAAACATCAAATGCTAACTCAAGTTGTGCAGTTGTTGTAATACCTTGGCGTTTTCCACACAGACAAAATCTTTGTAGCAGGCCTCCATCTGCAAGTGAGGATTCCACAAGACTGCATCTGACCAACTGCATACGAAAAATAACAACCTTAATAATGTGGACTTCACAATGTCAAAACAGAGTCTTTTATATTTCCAGATATCCACCTACTTTGAATTTGTGATGGCAATTTTGTCACCCAATCCATTGTCCAGGATGAGCTCACTTGGTGCACCAAGGTAGATGCAGTCGACGAATCCTGGAAAAGTCACCTCTTCCCTGGATGGTATTGGTGGGATAAAAACTTAGGCTCAGCAGCATACCCATACTTACAAATACACTAGGTGATGCAGCAGCTCTGAACACCTTAGACAAAAGTGGTACTAAATGCAAATATTGCTTTCTGCTCCCAGACACATACAGTGATATTGATGCAAGGAAGGGAACCTAAATACTGTGGCAAGATCGGCAAAAGTCCAATGAGGCAACAAAAGAAACCAGAGTCTAATTTGTTTTTTTCATGCATAAGACAGAGTTCCTCATAACTATTGACCAAAATCCAGACTGACCTCTCTTCTTTGCCCTCCAAAGGATTTTTCGGGTCAGGATCCTTATTGAGAGTCTTGCAATCTTTTAGACCTTTCACAGAAACGCCAGCTATGGAAGCCTGTAAACCAAATATGTGAACACCAACTACATGCAGCCTGTTCGTTTGACTGTGGCTTGGAAGCGAACAGTATTTTTCTCACACAAACCAAATATGTGAACAGAACAACTGAACCAGCCAACACAGTGCTGATGGTATTTCAGAAAGGGAAGGTTCCAGGAAACTGCAACTTACAGAGAAATAAGTGTGGAGTGCTGAGTTGAATGAGAAAGGCTTGACATCTGTATTTATTATTTCTAGAGTTGTTGACAAGCTTGTAGAGTGCAGGGAAACCTGCAAATATTTTTAAATACACTCAAACCCATATGCTGCAAAGCACAAGGCTACCACTTCTGTGGTCAATAATATGATAAGGTTAAGAATGTGTATGGACAGAAAACATCAAAGCACATAGTACACTGCCAGAGTTTAACCTTGTACAGTGCATGGAAGCTGAAATCCCACATAGAACGACTATAAGAGTCATCTTTCAGTTCCAAAGTTACAGCTGGATCTCCTTCCGTGACTTCTGAATCTGTGATAGACCAATTCACATTCGAGAACAAACCCATGCTATCAAAGTAAAATTAGCCTTGGTAAGTACAAAGAGTACACTGAATATGTGTTTCATTATCGTGTAGAAGATTATGAAATGTGAAAACATTATGCTACATAGCTGCATCATTAGTATAACCACATCGATAGTGGTACTATGATTCATCAAACCTAGTAGACGTGATGGAATTCGTCGACGATAAAATTTAACGGCTAACTTGGGGTCCATTTCTTGATTTGCCAAGATACATTCTATATTTAACTGTGGCATCAGCAGAACTTTATCATTAACTTTTTGGGACCAAATATCCACCAAGACTAATGCTTCGTATCATATTTATCTTTTCTGTTAACATGGGTTACAACAGAAAATTAGTTTCACAAACCTGCTGCATGGGACCTGGGCCAAACTGGGGGAAACAATGTGGAATTCCACCACTGCTTTCAAAAAAAGTATGTAGTTAGCATGCTATTGGATAAACACCTGATGTTCTATGGCATATGGTTTGAAACTAACCTGATGGGTTTCTGCCCGTTAAACACAGCATCTGGTCGAACAAAGAGCAGGTCCTTGCCATTAGGGACTTTGAAAGAAGTAACACATGCTCCAAACAGATAAATCTCAGCCTCGCTTCATGCATAAAATGGTTACACATTTAGTTCGCAGCAAAATGAAAAATAAGCAAGAGTTAAAGATAGCACTCCATCAATTCCTTTTTATAGGGCATATTAGGATTTGAAAAGATCAAACTAAATAGAACTAGTCAAATTATATGCAACTATAGGGTAACAAAGTAACATCACTAGATTCGATTTGGTATATCTTTAAATACGAACACTAGCTTTGTAGAAATTTATATTGCAAGAGAAATAAGCGGCCAAAGTATTTTTCCAAAGTTCTTTAATTCGAAGCCTAACATGCCCTATAAAAAGAAGAGCGCTCTAAAAAGAAACATGGGGCATGAGGGAGGACGGGAAGGGGTGTACATTATTTTTGGTTGTACAGCAAAAGAGATCCAGGATAAGTTTATAAATGCAAATGTACCACCAAGGTCAGGTTAGGAGGCTGCCAAACACAGATACCATACCACAGGAAAATGCATCTGATAGACACTATTTACAAATCATAATTAGTCAAACTCTTGTTATACTTCCCCTAATCTTGTATTGTGAGTTGTGACTCGTGTTGCATATGCAGTTGATGCAACCTAATGCTCCACTCATCTTACCTAAAGCCCCCCAGTCAAGCTCCCATCTCTCCCCAAATTCATCTCCTAAACCAAAAGTACACAGTCCCTAATCGCATACATCTCCAAACTCATCTCCTAAACCAAGAGTACACAGTCCCTAATCGCATACAGAGTAGACACGCAGATTGATCACCTGATGTGATTCCCGGATAAAAGAAGAGATGAAAAAAAAGTACCTCCCGTGCGAGGATTTGAGGTCGATTTTCTGCAGCCCGCCATTGCCCTCCGACACCGCCACACCGGGCGCATACACCTTCTGCCCAACGCTAGCCATGGCTACCACACCAGAGCGCCTGAGTTCAAGAACCACGAAGTCGAACCGACCGAGAATCGTCTGCTCTTAACCGTCCACACGAATCCAATCGGATAAATACACATCAGCAGCGGTTGCGGTAATGGTACCTGAATCGGCGGGGCGAACTGGAAGAGCAGGAAACGAAGGAGAACGAAGGGAGGGTGGAGGCGCAAGAAGCCGCCATTTCTGTACCCCAAGTGAAGTTGCTGCTTGAGCAATTGCGCCCCCTTCCTCGGAGAAGCTGAGACTTCGCTGGTGTTTTGCCTAGTTTAGAGTTGGAAAATGCACCGGATCTTCTGAGCTGAAGTTCGAGTGCTCCGTGGTGTTTTATGTGTGGCGCCATGTCCCTGCCCGGCTGTCCGGTCCTATTTGTGTAGGGAATAGATAGCATGTGAGGTCTTTAAATACCTCCATAAAATTCTTTACTACCTTGAATTCCACAGCATCGTTACTTATGAGCTTGGTTTATCAGCCATGGAACATTATTTTTCTCTCACAACAAATCAGTTTCAGCTAGCTTATCAGACGCAGAGCCGGACAGCACGAATATTTATTTGTATATATTTACAACAGTGCTCTAAAAAATATAAAATGAAGCCCGCAACTTAAACTTAGTTTGACCAAAAAAATTCATTTAGCCTATATGCAATCTAATGGTTTAAATAAAAAATGAAAAGATAACAATTTCATGAACTGAGCCATATTCGGTTCAACTCAGTAACACACATATATCCCATAGTTTAAAACATCTAGATCTTGGTCGTGAATTTGTCACGATGCGTTGCCTCACATTAGCTATTCAATCAAAAGATGACTTCTTAAGTAGAAATACAATCCTCAAACTATATCGGATTTGTTATAATCACTTAAATTAATATAGGGCATTAGATGATTAAAAATCTAGGCATTAAGCATATGGAAGACTTACTATTGCTTTTAGGTACATTATAATTTTCCTGGAGTTCTTGAATGACTTACTTGGATTACTGGTTTTAGAAGAAGAGAAAAACACAAAGGAGCATATAGTTGTCACACTAAGGATCCCAGCTCTTCTGCGGATGGAACAAAACTCATCTTGTCGCATGCGGCCAATTTTATTCTATGGATATGCCCTTTTTTGAACAACAACGACTGAAGAGGCCTTGGCTGCTTGTTGGAGGATATATCTCCCTTTTCTGCTCTCTTCCATATTCTCGTTTTTTTCCTTTACGGCATATGTATTGATCTAAAGTCGATACACGTTCTCTCAAAAGTTGGGTTATGACTTGTGATGCAGAGCTATATCATGCATTTCTCATATTATTATTATAGACAGTGGTGGAGCCACACAAACTACAAGCGGTGCTGATTGAACAATAGATTTTAAGTTTTACACTTATTTTTCTTGATGGATTAAATTTTTAGACTTGACTACCTAAGGGCTCATTTGGTTACAGCAAAAACAGGAAATTAAAGCTTATATAAATTAGCTAACAGTTTCGGTCTGGAATCCTTCCATAGAGTTGTTCTAGGAACCGAACGCCCCCAAATTGAAATCAATATCTAAAGAGTGCTTTCCATTTTATTATTAGATTACTTTTCCAATCTTTTCAATTCACATGAACCAAACGCTAGCCCTTCCTCCGGCCTTGATTTTAGAAACGTTACATCAGAGTAACTCCAATAAACTCTATATCCCTTCTGTGACAGAACCGTGCAATTTATACAAGATCAAGTATGGCTGCTTCCGCTTAACACGTTGACACGTACACACTTTCACTTATATAAACCCGATAGTCCGTCGAGTATCACGAATGATCTTGGTAAATCCACATCACAACCAATATCGTATGATTAAACAAATACACATCACATATAGGAGTTTTCAGTGAAAATAATATTACAGTTGAGTCCACAAATAAATAATACCATACTGAGTTCAAATATGATAAGTTAAAACAATATAGCTTTGAAAAGATTACAAAACCATAAGTTAAAATACAGTGCTAGCTTTAAGTGACATCCTCCAACAACAGCATATAGATGAGAATAAATACATAGCAGCCGAGCCCAACGGCACATAGTCACCGTCTTTACCAGGCTGAAAACTTCACCTCAACGTGGTGAGATAAAACCTTGAGTACTAGAATGTACTCAGCTAGACTTACCCGACAGGGGAGAAATAAAAAGACTCTCAAGGATATGCAAAGTTTATTTAGTGAAGGAGATATCATAACTGTGCAAAAGAGCATTACTATAATAAGTCCTTACTTTCAGTATTTTATTCAATATTTTAGCGTCATGTTTAGTGAAGCTATTTAAGGCTAAGTTTGCACTTGTTCTATAGCAATCACTTGATTAACAAGCATCACAATAGTAACCATATCCAGTTTATCATATAATAAGCATAACCATCATGTTCCATCAACCGTTACTACAATGCTGGAAACTCACTCAAGTTTCTCACTATCCGGGAGAAACGGTGATTTGAATCGATTGCAACCAGCTGGGTAGAAAGCCATAACACAAACCTAGGTAGACCAGATCATTAATTGCCTTAGGTCACTTTTAGTACAATTAAAGAAAGTCATGAGTTTGAACTGAGCCGCACCCTCAGGGACCAACCAGAAGCCGCGATGTTCAGACAACGGTCTGCCCAAGGTCCTTCCATGTCCCCGCAAATACATCCTCCCCTCTAGTGTGTGCGCCATACATCTCAAATTTCCAGCCCAAATTGAGCTACTCGGGTTCACGTGGTCGGAACGAGCTAAGTGAAAGATGGCGTTCAATCTTGAGCAAGGTCCAACAATGGTACGGTCCTTAACCGATATAGGCAGGATGAAACATGCACACATGACCTCCATGTCATGCTATCTCTCAATCACCAAATCCCGCCTAGTCTCGATTTATCCATCCTCACGTGGTTATTTTCCACGATAGCAAATATAGTTAATCGTGTTAGAGTAGCCACCTATCTTGCATGTAACAGTAATCACCTGACTTCTGGCTAAGCATAGATCGACCTACTCACTAGTAAGGGTATAGGTATGTATATATAGTGGATAAGGTAAGTCATGCAACAATGCTTCCATCCAACTCCTATCAACCTAATGCACAATACAAGATCATACTCAAGTGCATTTTAAAAGAGAGAGTAAGAGGCTTATAATGCTATGGGGTTTGCCTGGGATCCAACACTAGGTCAGTGTTAGTTAGTGGCGAGCATCTCCTGTCCTATTACTTGCTTAGTCCTTTCATCTTTAGGATAGGTCCACCGTACACCATCTTTTGGCTTGGCTCCACCACAACGTGTTTCACGTCCATGTGTCGTACATCTAGCGTACCTAAATGAGATATAACAATGTAAGTGTATGAACATGAAGAATGCACACATGATGCATTTAGAAGGCACACAAGACAACTTAAGTTAAGTTATTATAAAACAATCATCTACCACAAGCTAATTAAGGCTAGTATCACACAACCAGTAGGTTAGAGATAATTAAAGTAGGATACATGTTCACTAGACATCTTAGGTAGATCAATCTAACACCACCGAACCCATGAGTTAACATTAGCAAGCAGACCAACAATATCAAGCTTAAGCAATCAACTATAGATACCACACAAAAATCTAGACAACAGCACAACAAATGTTTCTTTTAACCAAAACAAGAGTTACATGCATCAAACATAGGTGATTCTAGACTTTATGGAAAGCTCAGAGCTGATTCCACAACTAACAAGGTCAAACAACACAAGAAAGCATTTCTGTCCAGACTTAGATAGATTCTGGCATTAAGCTTTAAACATCTATAGCTAGAGTTCTAAACCACCAAAAGTCATGTTCTTTAGCATTTTAGAAAGCTTAAGAAAAGTACTACAACTATTTAAATATCACCCAAGCATGATTTAAAAGTTATCTTAGTCAAAAAGGCATGACATTGCAGCACTGCACAAAGAGCAAGCAAAACCTGATAGGGAGTTTGTAAAATCTATAACTCTTAAACCAGTTGGCCTAAAATCACAAAATTTTAGGACACGCAAGATAAGGAAGTTATTTAAAACTTTTATATTCATCACATTTATAGAAAACATCATTTGCATCACGAAAATACCACCACAACCAAAACTACTCTAACAGCCATTTCAGCACACTTGTAACCAAGTTTCCACTTAGTTCACTAACAAGATCATACATGTACAACTAATTACATAGATCACAAATTAGTATTAAAATAGCTAATTAGTCTTAATCCTAGATAACATGAAAAGCACACTAAACATGTCTCTAAGCATGGAGGTCACAAGGTGATGCTTATCTCTCATTTTCATTTATTGGACACTCGTTTACCGAGTAGCAAACATGGTCCACACATAAAAAAGATAACCTGCCCCAAGGTGATTTAGGGGGCTGGTTTTCACCACATACAAACATCCTCGGCACCTACGTAATGATCATCTCATCCAAAGTAGAGCTAAAGCAAAGGTTATCGACTTGCATAAGCAACATTATTATTAGTTGTTATATTAACCTAAGAGCATACACATAAGCTATTTAAAAGCTTAAACAAAACCCACACTCTCCAGCAACATACCATTCAACACAACTGTCACTATTAAGCATTCACTAAGCCTTTATATATATAAAAGCCTATATATTAAATATAAGTAATGTTGCAAACATAGAGTTTAAAGCTGAGATTTTTATGGGTGAAAGATCTTACCAAAACATGACTACTATCAAAAGATTACATGCTGGTTTTATAAATTAATTATTACAATCAAAACAAGTTTTAATTGTAATTGAGCATGTGAGAGTAAGATAAAGCTATAGATCAACATTTTCTATAAACACATGGCCACATTAAGGTTCCTTAGTTTACAACAACATCATGCAAAGCTAGTGGAACCACATTTTTTTTTTTCACACGTGTATATTATTTATAAACCATTTAACAAGCACAAACCTAGATAAATCAATAACTCAGTCATGCTGCATCCAATAAATCTGAAATCTTTACCACAACACAAGCTTCACATGAATAGCCTATCATAAAAATTTCACATCAATTGGAGCACAGAATCTATAGATGTGAATTAAATATAAAAAACCCTAAGAAGGCATAGATATAAATCTACAACCATATTTTTCTACTAAAACATGCCATATTAGAGATTCACTGCATAGATCTACTCACAAGGATTCTAGAATATCTTCATTTACCATTTTATGATTTTGCCACGATTTCCTACACATTTTAGAAGTTTCAGCCGATTTATATGCACAACAGAAAAGATTGAACTAGAAAAGGAAAAACACTTTTGCGTCAAAGACCCTGTATTTTCCCTTAATCAACTAAGCCCAGATAAACATCTTGCATCAGGAACCCTAGAAAGAATTTCTAATTCATTTTCTTCCCTTTTTTTCAACCTTAGGAACACACAAGCATAATTTCTAATTCGTTTTCTTCCCTTTTCTTCAACCTTAGGAACACAAGTTAGGGACAGGCAGCTCGGCCGATCCCAATGGGCAGCAGCAAGCAGGGCTGGCAAGCCCTGGCTCAGACGCACCAAGACAGGCTTTTGGCTGACTGTGGTGGCTCTGCCCACGCATGCCGGAAGCAGGAGGTGGGTGGCTCGGCGGCGGCGACGCCCTGCTCGGATTTGGACGATGAGTGCGAGCGCAGGATGTAGGAGATGGAGGCGAAGCTGATGGTGGTGCTCGTGGGGAGCGAGGAGGCGCGGCGAAGGGACCTCGGCGGGTGGCCATGGGTACAGCCGACCATGGCAATAGAGCGAGAGAGAGAGAGAGCGAGGTAGAGAGCGAATGAGCGAGATGGAGAGAGCTAAGGGCGCCGACTTCTCCAAATCGAGCGAGCTGGGCGAGGTGGCGAGCATGCAGCGCGCGAGGGCGAGCGAGGGCGCCACGGGGCGACGCGACCTAAGCCAGGTCGGCCACGATGAGCTCTAGCTCCATTCAGTCACATTCAAAACCGACTGAAACTCAAACTTCCCCCCTCCAAAACTCCTAAACAGGTTGATGATTCGTTCAACTAATTATACTGTGTTGTAGAGCTACATGAGTACTACAACTTTTCTTAAAAAAGTTTGGTTAAAATCGAACTGGTTTGCAAGATATAAATTCCCAAAGATGACTACATGAAACTGAAAACTGAAAACTTCAGTTTCAACACTTGGCCAAATTTAGAACTTTTAAAACAGCACTGGGTTTGATCTTGGGGTCTCTATTTGGCTAGGTTAGAGGCCGAACTAGGGTTAGGTCCTTAAACAAAGGTTGCTGAGCTCAAGCTAAACTACAACTGTTATTTAAGGTCAAACATCATTAGAGTACTCCAAGCAGTTTATCAACTAAGGTCAAACTAGCATCATGAAAAAGATGATTTCTAGATCATTAACACTTAAAAAGCATTTTTAGGCTAAAAGATCAATATAAACCCTAACTAATTTTTTATCCTAAGTATTTCTAGGTTGGTTAGGTGACCAAACAATACTCACTTGCATTATAAAACATGATCATCAAGCATACCCATGGATAAATTAAGCATTTTATGGAAATAAACAGACAAATAAATGCATCACCACATACTCATGCTCATGAATAAATGAATGATGCTTATGCTCATGCAATGCAAATGCAACATGCAAGCTCAACACGTGGGGTGTTACACTTCCCAATTGTTAGGAACAGAAATTTAATTGAAAAAAATATCCTCCAATAATCTCTTTAATTGGATATCTAAATATAACTATCATCTATTTTGAATTTTTCATTAGCCAAAGATGAAGAAAGAAAATAACTATCTAGATTACACACAAAATATATAAAAAATTGTTGGAGAGTAAAAAAAATATAGAAAATTATTTTATTTAAATGACTCTTCAAATGATGATTTAGAGAGTTATAAATACTCAGCCGTTTGGATCCTTTCAATGGGAGGAATTGAAATCTACTTAATAAATTAGACTATTTGGCTTGGAATTTGATATTCCACCACTTTTCAAAGTTCACATATAAACCTATCTTAAATTCATAGGGTGGGAGATGGAAATTGATTATATTGATTATTATCTTATGTTTCTACTTTGCAACTTATAACATCCTCTTCAACTCACTCCTCTATGGTAGAAATGCAACACATAACTCTTATAGAGCCAATAATAACATAAAAACATAATCCATTTATAATTATATTAGCTTAATTAATATGTGTCTAAATTATAATTATTAAAATGAATTTAATTCCGAGGGATCCAGATGGGGATACTATTAGATTTCAGCAAACTGTTGCAAATTTTTCAGCATCAGAGATCAAATCATGTATAAGAGTATATATCATTTTAGATTCACACAAAACCCATTATACATTTTCCTTTTACAAAGCCATACGCTCTTCATCAAACCATCGGTCCCACACGGTTCGAACTTGCCCCTTCCGTGCTCGATTTGCCGCCATGCTCTGCATTCTTATCGCCAGCGCCATCGCCGTTGCTCGCCGTCGCCGTCGGTGCATGATCCGTTACGCACTGGAACCAGCAGGCGCTCGGTCTCTGCTTCCACGCCGCCTCTGTGTCGCTCCCGTTCTCCATCATCAGTGCGCGCAGGCACCGCCTCGGCCTTGGCCTCGTCGTCGCCGGGGCCGCCTCACCGCCACCTGCTGCTGCGCTCTTCTGCTGCGGCGCCACAACGAGCGGCGGTCTCCTCACAGGCTCCTTTGGCTTCTCTTCCTCCCTCGGGATGGGCGTTGGTGTCACCGCAGCCGGCTCCTCGCGCGCGTTCTTGATGTCCACGTGCACGCCGGGATTGCCGGCGGTGCACGTGCTCTCTTCCATCGACGAGTTGTTCACGCTCTGCACGTTGCTGTTCACGTTCGCGGCCACCGCCGACGGCCTCGAACCCGGACCCGGACCCGGACCCGGCACCCCTGGCTCTGCGGATCTCGGCTGTGGCGCTGGCGCTTCCGTGGGGCCGCCGCCACTGCCGAGGACCATACTCGCGCCGACATTGTGCCCAGCGAGCGTGATGACGCGATACCCCTGGCCGCTCTCCGGCCTGGGCGCTGGCGTCTCGCGCGCGGCGAGGCTCTTGAGCCCATCCTCGATCTCCCGCCGGTACGGCGCGCGCGCGCCGTCGAAGAGCCGCGACCGCGGGAAGCCGGAAATGGCTATCTTGGTGTCGTTGCCGCGGTTGCTGTCGTCTCTGCCCGACCTCTGTTCCTGGCCGGCGGGCGGGCCGCCGGAGAGCGTCAGCTCCAGGTCGGCTGTGGACGGCCGCCCGCCTCGGAGCTGCGACGAGTCTGAGCTCTGGACTGGAATCGTGTCCGATTCGTCAGAGGACTCAGCTTGCAGAGGGATATCTTCCACCGTGGCGTTTGGCGCGGGCCTCTGGTACGCAGGCCCTGCCGGAGTTGGTGGTGGGGGCGAAGGTGGCTGAGGTCGGGGTGAGGATGGCATTGTCCACAGCGCTGGTGACGGCGGCCGTGGTTGCTGCCGCCACGATCCCACACTGCTTCTGTAGGGAAGCCAGAAGCGGAATGGCTCCGGCCGCGGCGGCAACGACGACGGTGGCCGTTCGCCAGACATGGCTGCCTTGGGGTCGATGGCCTTGGTGGAAACGAAACAACTGGAGGTGCTTGCATTGCATTAGATATGAAGCTATTTACTGCTTAGTTCCATAGATTTCCATTTTCCTCGTTTGCTGATTGCTTGCAACAAGGTGTTGCCTAGCATGCCAAGAAAGGTAAGGAATTGGGACTTTTCCTTGGCTTGCAGCTTTAGAGAAAGCATGAACCATCTGTTTGTTAACTGGATTAAGCAGGGAATCAGATCGGGCCAGGTTCAGTAATTGGTATCAGCCTATCAGGCCATTTAGCCACCTGTAATTTTCACCGAACTTCAGTAGTTCAGTTCATACGTTTCCATATTTTATTCGCAAACGATGCTGTAGGGAGCATGCTAAACATGAAGATCTGCTGTAAGGATAAAGCAAGTTACCTTTCAGACAACTGACAGTCAGGAAAATGTCCAGGGAGATTAGAATGGACTAAAAGACAATCAAAACCATAGGAGCAAGTAAAATTTTATTCATATAAAACATATATATAATTATTGAACAACCAGCTTCTACATGTTTACAAAAGCCATGTTACACCATATTACCTACAACCACCAAAACCTTTAAAAACTAAGATACAGGTAAATGGGCCCAAAAATGAGTACTGCTTCATAGCTTACCTTACAACAATTGACTTGTTAATCTAAGGGACGATCCGTGCCGTCCACCTTTTCTTCTCTGCCGCCACCTTTCCTTAATGTCACCACACTCTCTTGTTGGATCACTTGGGCTAGCACCACACATTTCTTCAGTATCTTGCTTGGTAACCGTGTTGTTTGAGATGCCCCGCAATCGAGCAGTTTCCGCTATCAGGTCACTCACCAGCATCTCAGTTGTCCTTGTGGTAATCCCTCTCAAGTACCACGAAATGGGTGGTGGGGGTAAAAGAGCAGGCTCGATAAGCTGATCCAAGGTAATGGCAGATCCAACTCTTCCCCTGCCACAAGTACAAGATTCATATTCCTCCAATGTATGTGGGTCTAGAGGAAGACATAATTCCTTGTCAAGAAAAAGAGGTTCTATCTTCCAGCAGCCCTCAAACTTCCTCATAAAACCGGTTCGCCCCTGCCTAAACTTTACCTGCAGAAGGTATTGCATGGAGCAAATATCAGGCAACAAATTGCATCTGCTGACCAAAGGATAATGGCAATGTTTCAGGTTTTTACAGTGTGATTTTTTCTGTTCTGGTCCACAAAAACATGAACTGATAAGATGCCAGACCACCACAGGAACTTCCAGATTGCTGCCTGCTCCACTTCAACTATTTGTCTTGATGCTTCGTCAAGCAAGACTTTCCTTGATATTACTTCCTGAAAAAGTGAAACAATATCCTAGCCATGAATGCCTAGCTCTATGGTGAGATCCTGGACATTCCTGGTCCTTCTTCTTATGAGAAATTTCAATGGCTTATTATTTTCAGTATAAAAAGATGAATTATGAACGGGTCCTCATGTTTTTCTTGGCTCATGGAGTAGTAAGTACACCTGGCCCATCATTGAACTACCCGAAAGCTCCTTATGTATTCCCTATGCAAGAGCACTGACTCTCAAGTTATTTTAACTAGGAGATGTACAACTGAAGGTTTGGCATCCAACAGAACACAATTCGAAAAGGAATCCAATTGACAGAAGATTTTTCAGACATCTTCAATCGATGGGGATCAAAAACAGAGTAAACGTATTCAGTCAGCTGCAGCAAACAATCACAAGGACATACCAGCTTGCTCAATCTGAATAGTAAAGCACACCTGTACACACCTTAATATTCTTGAACACCCTTTTGTTCTCTGGATCAATTATAATGTTGTATACTGCATCTGGTGGTAATCCTGCCTTAAATCTCAAATTGAGGTTGCAAAGGGAGCCTTCTGGTACAGTCACCTGTAAATATTTGATCATGTAAGGATATAAGTTTTTGAACTATAGGAACATTCTCGAAAGTATGTCAGACATGCTTTCAGCCTCGAGATCAACAAAAGCTAACTCTACCAAACTACTAGGGCTTTCTAATGCATTTAGGTATTCTGGTTCGGTGTAAGTTTGGCACTAAAGCAACGGTAAAGATGCAGTCAGGATACAGAGAGAAAAGTGTTATGCAGCAATCAACGTGGATACCTTTATTTCTGGCGGCTCGTCGGTCCAGCTAGGATTGTCCCACCAAGCTTGGAGCTGCCTATCCAAGCGAACCTCCGTAGAAGCAGTAGCAGCAGCAGAACACGACTGTTTCGCCTTCTCTGAAGATATCTCAGCGCTCATGCGGCGGCCAGCACCATCCTTGTTCAAGAAACGCCCAAAATGCACCTATGGCAAGACGCAGGCAACAACAAATTCACATCTGCACAAACAGTTCCAAATCCCTTGATCTTTCCTTTTTGACAAACCGACCTTAAGAGAGCTCTGAATCTTATCGGGAATCTGCATCAGGCTGTTCAATCCCAACGCAGGTCTGCGCAGCCAGCCATCCGCTTGGAGGCTGACCCACGGTTCGTGCCTGCTGCTGTCTCCCATCAAGAAACCCAATGCCCTAGAACAACAAGTCACCCAGACATGAATGAAATACGAGGCATCGCAACCCCAGCAGCTTGAAGAAATGGAGAAAGAGAAGATAATTAATTAGATAAAGACGATGATGGAGGATAAAATAAAAGGAGAAAAATCTGACCTCGGGTCGATAGAAGAACTGGAGCTCCGTTCAGGTGTGGGATGGCTCTGGAACGGGAAGGAAGCAGGAGTGACCAACCGTAGAAGAGAGCCGCCAGGAGGGACGAGGAAGGTCAGAGCTCCCGAGTTCCGTCGCCCGGTCGCCGTCACGGCGGGTTCGGTCGGCCAGTCTTTCTCCCTAGTCCAATCTCGATCTATCGGCTCGGTCCCGAGCCCTCAGACGTGAAGGGCCTGGTATAGAGCCTGATGGGCTTTTGCTCCTTCGTATTGGGCCCCCACGTCTCTTCGAGGCCTGAACCTGATGGTTTCTTGGAAATTGGCTGATGCAACTAATAATTGAACTTCCACTCAAAAAAAAAAACCTAATAATTGAACTTTTGCTAAAAAAAACTAATAATTGAACTGACTTTTCTAAAAAAAACTAATGATTGAACTGACGAAAACCTAACAAGGATCCCCGTGTATAATATGACAAAACGTTCACCAAAATTCAAGACATGATATGTTCTTTCGATGTACAAGTAGCCGTCAAAGTATCTAAATGTTTGGCTGTCTGCATTTCAATCGGGACACAATATAAAGAGAGGTCCTTATGATTAGTACTCTATGCATAGATAGGAGCTCAAGCTCTTCAACGCGGTATCTTTTTTCTCCCGCATTATGCTCCTCTGCAGTAGTACTAAGAACAGATATCCGTATCAAACAATTCCTTGGTTGGACCCATTGCGATGTAAACTGAAGTGATATTCTCCACTGTAGCGAGTAATGTGGTTATCATTTCTGCGCTTGGAAGCGGTTGCTTCATGCAGATGTGCAGCCATGTCCATGTGTGATGACGATGCTTGATGTTCATAAATCTGGCCATCGCCTGCTAACACCTGAGGTTCGTGGCATTCCTCTTCCGGCTGTAAACCTATCAAAAGTCCCAAGTAAACATAACAAATGAATTGAAGTTAACTGCTAGCTATGATCCAGTTCACTTGTTTGGAACATTTATACGGGCTTCAACGTACATGCTCGAACTGTCAAACATTTACGTTCTTCTAACATGGTAGTAAACTTAAATAAGAACTTTTGATGAAGAATACATTATCATGTTCATGTGATGAAACTAAGTAGATATAGTAGTAGCAAAGGTTTCCAAAGTTTGCATTTGCCTAAGAGGTTATTGGACATTTGTTTTGGACCATAGGTAGTACAAGAACTTCGCTCTGCGCAAAATCTTGATTCACATTAAACACAATTTGTATTCTCTTAGCTCCTATTTTCATATATTAGAATTTTGCTCTGACCTCAACCATGATAATTACTCATGTTGGCAAATCTTTTCCTCTCATATGGAACCCTACTCTATTACAGCTTTGACTACTTATCATTCGTGAATGTCTATATTCATGAAAAAAGAAGAATATATGATCATAGTCATGCAAACGTATCATTGCATTAAGAAGAGAGAGGTCTTAGAATACAACACACCCAAAATATTAAAAAAAAACGAGAACAGGGGATACTGCCTTAGAGCTTCTTAGCCTTAAAAAACCACAACAATATTTTATTTGGAAAATTTAAGACCACTTTTGTAGAGCCTTAGAGCTTACAAGAATACTTCTCTCATGTAGTTCCATTTATTATTTCGAGTTCAAAACTGAAAAAATAACATATTTGAGAAATACATTTATTAGATGATGCACCTTTGAGATAGTGAAAAATATTTTGAACTAGGAGGACCATCCCATTTGGTACATTAAAGATATTTTCAAATAAAGATCTGACCTGTTATTCAAAGTTTCAAATGTTTAATTTGTAAGCATCAAACCTGCTTTGTCATTGGACACTGGATTGTCAGTTGTTGAGACATCTGAGAAGGAGCCAGATGCAGATAGTCTACTAGAACTTGATGCAATGGGAGAAATACGAGATGTCGATGATGGGAACTGGTGTCCAGGGATTAGTTGTACTGTCTCTGTAGTTGAGTTTGGCTACAAAAAAGAAATAAGAAAATTGGAAATAACTATTGTTACGCTATAAAAATTTTGTAGAAACAAACATAGGAGATGCATTGCACGTTTACCTTGTTGATAAAATTAGGCTCTTCACTTTTATGTCCATCCATATGATAAGAGAATGTCATTTTTTGCTTCAGCTTATTTTGTGGATAACCAACTTTATCAATGTCTGAAAAAGTTATTCCTACTGCCAGGTCTCTGTTAGCAGGCTCCTTTAGAATGGTATCTGAGATAGCACTACTTGATCCAACTTCCTTGACTTGTTCTGAGCATGTATAGGATTGGGAGCTTAGAGAACATGACTGCACTATGCAATCCTGGCACCCCAAAACCTCAATTTGGAGCTTTTTGCGGTTTGAAAGTGACTTAGGTAATGCTTTGAGTCCAACACATTGTGATAAATTAAGATACTCCAAATTACTAAGTTTGTCAAAAGCAGATGGTAGATATTCTACACTATGGCAGTGTGAGAGATTTAGAAACTGAAGAGAAGTAAGGTATTCAAAGGACTCCGGGAGTTTAAGATGAGAACAAAATGAAAGGTTCAGACCTTTCAAATATGCAAGCTGACCAAATGATTGGGGGAGTAGCTCAAGTTTTGAGCATTTTGACAGACTCAAAAATTGAAGTGAACAAATGTTGCCAAAAAAGTCAGGTAGCATTCGGAACTCAAAACCACTCAAGTTTAAATCCACGATGGAAGAAAAAATAGAGAATGATTGCAATAATTCATCAGGTAATGTTGGAAGCTTAGAACACTTCGAAAGGTTCAAAAAGCGAAGTTTCCTGAGATTTTCCAGAGATGCAGGAAAACTTCTAACTTCAGGGCAGCATGATAAGTTTAGGTAATGTAACTCATGCAGCAAATCTAGGTTATTCAATCGCTGAAGTTTCTTGCAACCTTGGAGATTCAAATAATTCAGCCTCTTTAAGTTGGCAATGAAGGCTGGTAGCTCAGTAACTTCAGTATCTGACAGATCCAGTGTCTGTAGCTTATGAAAGCCACTAATTTGGGGAGGCAGATCTGCAATGGACAATGTTGAAGCATCAAGATATCTCAGTTGTTTCAACTGAAAAACTGGAGCGGGCATCTCCTTCACAGAACACCCACTGATATCCAAAACACGCAAGAATTTGTTCACTGAAAGAATTTCGCTGACATGCTGTAATTCTGCACCGCTTGTCTTGAAAATTAGTGCCCTTGCCTTGGACGGCCAAGCCTTTCTATCTATTGATTGTAAGCTAGAAGCAGACACTTGTGCATAACGGTAATCATAATTTCTATTGCAGCGTTCATTCTTAGCATCTAAGATCACAAGGATATCTTCACCAGCAACTGACCTAGCAAGATCGTGTGCCAAATTATTCATGCAGAGCTTTTCATCAGAAGTACACAATATTTCTGCATCAATCTGTAAATGGAAACGAGGTTAATTAGCTAGCTTACTCAACTAAACCACATAAATTGCTATGGTGCAAGAACATTTTGGTTGATCTTAGGAGAGAATAAAAGGATACGAGAAATAGACAACCTCAAAAGAGAAAAATGCACAGTTCTCAGTTCATAATAAGAGCTTATTCTAAATGTATTAATATCATGTCAGCTTATGCAAACTATTAAAGAGGATGTGTACAATATATACTGTGCATTAATCAAATTTTGAGAAACATTACTAAACAAAGATTAAAAAGTAAAGCAGATGGGCTTGCTTTAGGCACCAACACAAATCCTGATGACCTGAACCCAAATAACAAAAATTAAGTATGAGTCTGAAAGCAAAGCAAAACGATACCATCCGGTGAATCTTTCGAGGTCTGAAACTTTTGCAACCAATCTTTGTTATGTATGATATTATCACTTTTGCAAAAAGATAAATGCATGATATTATCATTATTCGTTTTAATAAGTAAATGAACTTTATGTGTGATGTTTGTCATATCTTATATCTGTACAAATGTGAATGATCATAGTAATTGGCTTGATATGTTCTGCATGGTAGTTACTCTTATTAATACTACAATTTCCGTATCCGTTATAAATTATAATAGGACAGTATTATGTGAACCTTCTTTCACATAAATGCATTTACTAAAGTTTATTGACATGGATGTTACTATGGTGCTTGTAAGAAAAAACAAGAAATATCTTAAGTACAACTGTAAACTTACCTGATGCCTCTCTAGAACTTGAAGGAAATAAATATCTTTAAGTTCATCAATGTATTTCTCAGCAGTAACATCGAGCGGCAAGGTTCCATGTTTGGATTCAATCATGTCAAGTGCAATCCATTGTTGAATAAGTTTTTTCTTATCAATGACATATCCTTTAGGGAAGATTGAACAATATACAAAGCATAACCTTAGCTCATGGGGCATACTGTAGTATATTATCTTGAATGATTGAAATATTGGCATAATTTTGTTTTCAGGATAGTCTTCCTCTATCTTCCACATGTCTTTATCTTTTGCAGCTTTCCATATCTCACGCCTCTGTCTTTGAGCATTCACCACAGATCCAAGAAAGTTGGCTACCAAGGGTATTCCTTCACATCTCCTAACAATTTCTCCTCCATACTCCCTGAAAAGTGGGTCATTATGACCTGCCATTGCCCTTTGAGAGAATATAGTTGAACAATCATCTTCTGACAACAAAGACAGTTTGTATGGTGGCACAGTGGATATCAGCTCGGCTACTTTACTGCTGTGAGTGGTCACTATGATCTTGCTTTCAGTCTTTCTACCTGTAAGCAACATCTGCTTCAGCTCATTCACATCTTCATCTTTGCCCCACAAGCTATCCAACACTATTAAGCAGCTATACCTATTAAGTATGTCTTGAACAGCATTTTTGATTGACTGCATCTGCATGCTTCCCTCAACCCTTTCTGTAGTCTGCAAAACTACATCTCTCCCAATTTTTTCAAGGTTGACATTGCCCATGGAAACATGAACCCATATCCTGAATCTGAATGTCTCTGCTCTTGCATCATTGAAAATAAGTTGTGCAAGGGTTGTCTTCCCAAGGCCCACTGGCCCAACTATGGAAATAATGGTAAGTTCTTTCACATTTATCTGCATCAACATGTGCATAAGATGTTCCAAGTCTTGATCCCTCCCAACAATTCTGATGTCATTATTTCTGTATGATGTTGTCTGCTTCTCATCAAAATTTACCACCGAGTTAATATGCGAGATGAAATGATACTGGGTAGGTAAATGTTGCCTTGTCTGTAATAACTCCCTCTTGGATTTCATCTTATGAACCATGCTAACCTTCGAAAGCATGGGATTGGATAAAGAGCAGAGTAAAGATCCCTGAAAATTTGCAACCACATTTACTCTGTAAGTTTGCGTTCACTGTTTCGGCAGCAAAACACAACTGAAGAAGTGTTGGTGTAATTATTAAGAACAGAAGTCCAAGGCCCAGCTGTATTAGAATTTAGAATGGCATGTCCTTTTATTATTTTTAGATTGGTGATAAGTGGTTGGTGTATATCGGTGTAATCCGCAGGTCATGAGTCCAAAATCTGGAGAATCACATTGGAAAATTCAACATAAAAAATTCACTCAAATAACCGGTGGGTGTGAATTTAACTCTGGCCTTTGGTCAGAGAGGTGAGGTGCCACATTGTTAAGTTATGCAATGGCAGGTATTCTAAAGCCAGGTTATAGACTGGATAATAGCTTACTACATAGGTTTACTACTTTACATACTGATAAAGAGACAAGAAACATGATTTCATCTTTGTCACTGAACTAGGAAGAGTCTGCAGGAAAGAAAAAAAACTACCCCAGCAGATCTATAAAGTACAAGCGAGGAGAAAAACAACATAACCAATAAAATTCCAGCAGCCAAATGAGCATCACAGATTCACACTGCTGTGATTGTAATCCTTGACTACGGGGGCTAAATTTCAAGCTGTATAATAAGATTCCAGCAGCCAAATGAGCATCGTTCTTACCTTCTGAGCATAGTTGCTTCCCTCATATTGCTCCTTGGAAGAGGAGTAGCCATCAACGATGTCTTCGATATCGTAAGCCAGAGACTTGATCTGGCCCAGCCAGTGCCGCAGGTTCGCCCTATCGCTCCCGAAGGAGTTGTTCTCCGCGTTCTTGAGGAGGCCTTCAAGGTATACAAGGGTGTCCTTGATGCCCTCGAGGTCGTCGCTGAAGCTGCAGCACAGCTTCGCCTCGCCCTGCGCGACGCCGATGATCTCGTTGATCTTACGAGCGACCTGGTTCACCGTCGCCGCGACGAGCATCTCGGGCCCGACCATGGCTGGACGTCGTCCCGTGGGCCGTGGGCAGGCCGGCACAGAGGGAGACGACTGAGGAAGACTGGAAGAGCGTAGTCTTTTATCTGTGTCGTGACCTACGCCCACTAAAAACTTCGAGCGCAGACACGTGGGTCCGGCAAGTAAAAAGTCCAAAATACCCTTCTCGGATGACCGTATCCTCATGCTCCTTTCTTTCTGTCCGGTGGAACCAACCTGTCAGTGACCCAGGCACCTTCTTCTCTGCTCCTTTCTCTCTGTCCGGTGGGACCAGCTGGCTGATGTGACTTCCGGCTCATAGCTTCAGCTATAACATTGGTCTTTCCTAGGTGATAATAGACTTCCAAGTTATAATCCTTTATCAACTCTAGCCATCTCCGTTGCCTCATGTTTAGCTCAGACTGAGTGAAAATATACTTGAGGCTCTTGTGATCAGTAAAGATGTACACTTTGTTGTTCAACAGATAGTGCCTCCAAATCTTTAGAGTGTGGACAACAGCAGCCAGCTCTAAGTCATAAGTGGGGTAATTCACCTCATGCTTCTTCAGTTGACGCGAAGCATATGCTATCACACGCCCATCTTGCATAAGCACACATCTCAACCCCGTCTTCGAGGCATCACAGTATACATCAAAAGGCCTATCAATATCTGGTTGGGCCAACACAGGAGTAGTGGTCAGAAAAGTCTTCAAAGCTTGGAAAGCTTCTTCACAGGCTGTGCTCTAGTCAAACTTGGCTTCTTTTTGGAGTAGCTTGGTCATTGGCTGGGCTATCTTGGAGAAATTAGGAATGAAACGCCAATAGTATCCAGCCAGACAAAGGAACTGACGAATCTGATACACAGGCTTAGGAGACATCCAATCCAATACATATTGCACCTTGCTGGGATATACAGAAATGCCTTCAGGTGTCAACACATGCCCCAAAAACTACACTCGATCTAATCAAAATTCGCACTTGCTGAATTTGGCATACAGCTTGTGCTCCCTCAGTCGAGTCAGTACTATCCGAAGGTGTTGGGTATGCTCTTTATTATTCTTGGAATAGATCAGGATGTCATCAATGAAAACCACCACAAACTTATCCAGCTCTGGCATAAAAACTAAATTCATCACGTACATGAAGAAAGCAGGAGCATTAGTGAGATCAAAAGACATCACTAGGTACTCATACAGTCCATACCTAGTAGAGAAAGGTGTCTTTGGTATATCATGTGGCCTGATCTTAATCTGATGATAGCCTGATCGGAGATCTATCTTTGAGAACACCTTGGCACCAGCTAATTGGTCGAACAAAGTATCTATGTGGGGCAAAGGATACTTATTCTTAACTGTTACCGCATTAAGAGGGACGGTAATCCACACACATCCACAAAGTACCATCCTTCTTCACAAAAATAGCCGGGCAACCCCATGGTGAAGAACTAGGACGGATGAAACCTTTGTCCATCGACTCTTCCAGCTGCTTCTTCATTTCTGCTAGTTCCCTTGGAGCCATGCGGTACGGGCGTTTGGAGATAGGGGCAGTACCAGGCTCTAGCTCAATGGAGAATTCTACCTCTCTGTCTGGTGGCAACCCAGGAAGATCTTTAGAGAAAACATCCGGGAACTCACATACTACTGGAATGGAGGTAAGATCAGGAGAAGCTTCAGCATGGGCAGCAACAAATAAGACCAGATCGAAGGGTACAATAAGAGACATCCTATCCTCCAAAGATGGAAGCCATAACTCCACACTTCTCCTCTTCAAATCCAAGACTACCCCATACACCTGCAACCAATTCATTCCAAGAATAACATCAATGCCTTGCCCAGGCATGACCATGAACTATAGGCGGTAAGTGTAGGTGGCTAATACCAAACTTACTGTATCTGTATGGTTATTGATGAACATTTGCGAACCCGCAGTATGGATCTTATAGGCATAAGGTATAGCCATAAGTGGTAAGTTGTGCCTCTCTACAAACCCCATGCTCATAAAGGAATGTGATGCACCAGAATCAAACAACACATAAGCTAGATGGAAGTCGATGGTAAACATACCAGCCATCACCAGCTCCTGCTGCAAAATTTGTTTAGCATCTGTGAAATGCACCTGATCGGATCTGCTGGGCACTTTCTTCTTGATTATGGTCCCCTTGACAAGTCTAGAGTTCACTGACGGTTGAGCTGACTGAGCTGGCTGGTTCTGGGGACAAGCTCCGGCATAGTGGCCATCTTTGCCACACTTGAAGCGAGCACCTGGCTTGTTCTCAAACCCCTAATGAGGTGGGACCTGCTGTCCCTAAGACTGCTGGGGCTGCACCTGCTGTGGGGGTGCATGGTACTAGGTGGAGGAAGTTTGAGAAGTCTGCTGGGACTGCCGGAACGAAGGCCCGCCTGAAGACTGATAGGGCCCCTATCGGACTACCTGTATCTTCTGAGTGTGAGGGTGGCTAGAAGATCCAGCTGCCACCCGCTTCCTCTTCCACTCTGCCTGAGACTCCCGCTGAAAACCCTCCATAGTGATGGCGGCATTCATCAGCGCCCTGAAGGTCTGATAGTTCGCCGTGTACAGCTTCTCCTGAAGGATGGAAGAGAGACCGTGAAAGAAGCGGTCCTTCTTCTTGTCATCAGAATCCACGTGAATGCCAGCATACTGGGCCAACTGATTGAACTTATTCACATAGTCCATCACTGTCATATTCCCCTGGCGCAGCTCTAGGAACTCAGTCATCTTCCGGTTGATGACACCAGCAGGGATAAAGAACTCTCAGAATGCGGTGGTGAACTCCTACTGGGTTGTCGGATGATCAGGCTGCTCCATGACATGGAAGGTATCCCACCATGCGCTTGCGGACCCCAAAAGCTATTGCGCCGCAAAGCACGCCTTCTGCTCGTCGGCCACGTCGAGCAGCAGAAACTTATGCTCCAAAATACTAAGCCAGTGCTCCGCATCTAGGGGCTCATCAGACAGGGTGAAAGTGGGTGGGTGAGTCTTGAGGAAGTCTTGGTAAGAGGATGGTCCCTCAAGACGGCGGGCACCACCCCCATTGCCCCCGTGGCCTCCACGGGCGAGGCCCGCGACAGCTTGTGCCATTATGTCCATGGCACGAGCTGACTCTCGGTGAGCAGCTAATAGCTTCGCCATCATCTTAACATGGGTCATTGAAGGCGGTGGTGACGGAGGAGGAGCCAGAAGTGGAGCCCCATGGCTCTCCCCGTTGGGCTCATGGGCCCGGCCACTCTTGCCGTGGCCCTCGCCAAGACCGTGAGCCGCCCCCACACTGGTGCTCCCACGTCCAGACCTTAGATTCATCTGTAAGAGATATGAACCATCCATTAGAACCCCCTCCCTATCAGAATCAAGGGATTAGAGAAACGATAGCACATATATTAAAGCATTCCATTAGTTAGTCCTATCAATTTACTAATTCAATTATACGTGAAAGGGGGATTTCCATTGAAGTAAGATGCTATTATCATGATGCATGCTTCGGCCTATGCGCTCACTGAAGCCGAAATATAGCGACATTCGTTAAATTTCCGGCACATCGTACACTCACTTCCCGTATACTAAGCGATTTCTTACACAACGTAAGTTAGTGTACTTGCAGAAAACTGATTAGATAAAACCAGTGCCGCTATCCAAGATAAACCATATTGCTAGGGCTTATACTTTTTTACCTAATACAATTGCATCCTACTTTTCGCAAAACTTTTGTTGGTCAAATTTTTAAGTTTTGAAAAAGGGTGATGAACTCGTAACCATTTTGGCTCTGATACCATCTGTGGCAGAACCGCTCGAAATAGCACACTTGCGGAGGTGCTCGTCTTCCACCAGACATAAAGCACCCTGAAAGCAAGCTACAACGGGCGGTATTCATCGAGCACACCCCAAGGGAGAACCCGAAAGATCCACATTTTTCCCAAGGATCCAATAATAAAAACGAGTTACAATACTTGTCCATTTCATACATCAGAGTTTTCTTAAAAAGTATATTATTACAATACCAAATGTCAAAGTGCGGAATGATAACCAACGGAATTTAAATAAACATCTAGCGACCGGAGCGAGGATTTCGTCTAAGCCCACTAGAAGGATCCTCCACACAAAGGTACTTCTCATGCATCACCTGCAACAGGGGTAAATAAACCCTGAGTACACAATATACTCGCAAGAATTATCCGACTAGTGGGAATAACTTTCCGACTCCAAGGAATATGATAAGCTTTATGGTTTGTTGGTTTCTTTTTGGCAGAAAGCAATACTAATAGTGAGTCCTTATTTATGTATTATTATTAGCCGGATTAAGTTATCATCTAGCCAGTCTATATAAGCACCTGTTCTACTTTCAAGCAAGAGTTGAGCAATCAGTTCCATTTCTTCTCCTTTCAACTTTCAGTTCTTACTACGGTGCTAAACCGTAGACAAGCTGTACTAGATTTTCTGGCGATTCGTGAATCAATGTGCCTAGCTGGGTGCCCCGAAAACACATGCCCCGCTTGTACCCTAGGCATAAGCAGGACTAACCCATCACTCTCCTATCCCGGGTGTCTAGGCCCCCGTCCAAACTTGGACTCCAAGCCCCCACTCCTGCGTGCCGGACTAAGTGTGGTGCAAGGACCTCCACCATCTCTGCCTCCAATCAGTCGGTCCGAAAAGAGCCGGATCCGCGATAAGAGAGCAACAAGTCTTCCTCTGTGCCCATACCCAAGTATGCGCTCGGGACAATAAATCTGTGACTTGCCTAGAGTCATATGCAACGACCGGTCCTTAATCGACACAGACAGGGGAAAAGTGTAACTGAGCTATGCCCTGTTGGCCGTAGGACACAACCCCTTACACCCACCAATGCCCAAACCATATCCCTGCGCGGTCACCATTTACCTTTACCCTTTTATCATGAGTGATCATATTTATCACCTACTTGCGAGTAACGGCAGGTTACTCACGCTACCGATATCCTGAGCATAGTAACTACTCGACCTGTACTAGTAGGACTCATGGAAAGATATATTTAT